TTAAAAATAATAAAATATTGAATTATAATTAATAAATATATAAAATATAATATAAATTTTAATTTTTTAAATTTATCATATAATTATTATTTAACATACCAAAATTTTAAATGTTAAAATGTTTTTTTTCTCGTACTTTTATATTACAAAATTTTTCAACACTATACATTTTTTCAGTTCTTAAATAAATTAAAGGATGTTATGGTCTGTTAATGGTAAACTTCCTGTGGCTATATTTCTGTTCAAAAACTGAAAATGCAACACGAACTGAATTAAAACAAATAAATTTAGCATAAAAAATAAAGAGAGAGAGAAAAAAAACAAAAATAAGACACACCAACTAATGCAAGCTCTCAAAATCAAACAAAAAAATTGGGACCCAAATCCATCCTCCAAATTCTCAACCCTGTGACGATGTGTTGTCGTCATCTTCTCAATGACAATAACTCCGCCGGCACTTGTTTCCCCCGATGATCAGGTGGCCACCGGACGTTCGGCGCGTGGCTTTCACGTTCCACCTGTCACGTGACGGAGCTCTCGCTGTGCTCTCGGTGCTGCGGCCCTTTCTTTGAGTTGTTCGAGTTCAATCGCAATCTTCATTTGTTTGTTGGTAAAAACCCTTATTAAGTACCTAAACTTACCCAAAAAAACATTTAAGACTTTAAACTAAAAATAAAATAGATAAGTCCTCTAATTTTATTAATGATGCAAATAAACCCTTCTCATTCATGGGTATTAATGCTTTCAAGGTGATATTAAACATGAAATACAATTTGACCCTTTTGTGAGAAGGGTTTATTTGCATTATTACTGGAGTTGGAGGACTTATATGCATCATTTTTAATTTATGAGTTTAAACGCTATTTTGAGATAAATTTAAAGGTTTAAGAAGGGTTTTTACCTTGTTTGCTGTCCTTTGACCCCCCACAAAAATCCAAGTCCCCCACCCGATCCGATGCGGACTGCGCTAATCAAATTATTTTTCTTTGCTTACCCTAAA